TCTTAAGTTCGACACTATTCAAACATATTTTACCTTAGCCTTGTGTACTCTGTGAAAGCAATTTTGCCATCTTTATACAACTAGATTGCTAACGGGTGCAATTATTGTGACAGACAGAGAGGTAGATTGCATTGGTGCATTTCAAAAGTTACGTAGCAGTCTTTGTGATGCTCCACGCAGTAGATACAGCCAGGTTAAAATACATTCCTCAAATGCATTCAAAATTTGTCAGACAGCCAGTTTGGTGTAGTACAGGGGTGTCAAATTCAAAGCCCGGTGGCCGGATTCAGCCCGTAGGGTGCTTAGATCTTGCCTGCAGGGAAACAGTGAAGGACTGGCCTGCCATGCCTCTGCCAGCGAAAATGGAGAACACAGCCCCTCCCGAGCTGTGGTTGCAGGAGGCTGTCCTGGCCGAAAACGGAGCTTGCGAGCCCGTTTTTGGTGGCAGAGTGTTCCGGCCACCACAGGTGCCCCCAACACAAGTGACGTCAAGCTGGCCACGCCCACCCTGGCCATGCCCACCCCCTGAGGTCAAACACAACCCTGATGCGGCCCTCAATGAAACACCCCTGGTATAGTAGCTAAAGCAACAGGCTAGGGAACAGAAGACTATGAATTCTACTCCTGTCTTAAGCACTAAACCAACCTGAGTCCCTCTGTCTCAACCCTAGAAAGAAAGCAGTGACAAACCACTTCTGAAAACTTGCCAAGAAAACTGAAGGGACTTTTCTGTGCATTCACCAGGAGTCAGCAATCACTCAAAGGCACAACAACAACATGTCACACTTTGCTTCTAGGGTTGGGTAAGGGGACTGGCTTAATACATTGGTATCCATTTTGAACCCTTGGTAGCAATAGGAGCTATTGCAAGTATGGAAGTAAGTGAGAGACCAGAAGCACAACTGGAACAATCACACAACACAATGGTAAATGAATGAAGCAAATAAAGTATACATAAATTATTATTATTATTAGTAGTAGTAGTAGTAATAGTATTAGTATTAGTAGTATTAGTATTATTAAATGAAAAGTAGATTAAAAATAAATTAAATAAATAAAAAGGCAAATAAAGTAAATACATAAATAAAGTAAATGAATGAGGAGCAGGATTAGAAGTCTTAAGGCTAAGTAGCAAGGCTGGCCTAAGGAGAGAAGCACAAATGTGCTCTTGGGGCATTGAGCAGCAATTCAGTTCTGCAGCAAAAGAACAATTCAACTCCATTTACAAGGGCAAAAAGAAAAGAAGGCACAACAAGGCAGGGGTGGGATTCTACCGGTTCGCACCTATTCGCTAGAACCAGTTGTTAACATTCTAAGCAGTTCGGAGAACCGGTTGTTAGAAGAAATTACTGGCCTAATCCTGTAAGGAAGGCAGGAAGGAAACATTCTGGTGTTGCTTACAGGAACTGCCTCTCCGTTAACCCTTATTACATTCTTGGCAGGACTAGACTTCCTGTCTCAGGAAGTTCTCTGGAGTTTTTTTTCCCCTCCTTTGCTGGTACTTTGCTTGTGTGGAGTGACCATTCAAAGTTACAATGGCACTGAAAAAGTGACTTATGACCATTTTTCACACTTATGACTGTTGCAGCGTCCCCACAGTCATGAAAGGCCAGGTGAGGAGATGCGTGCCTTGATGTGAGTGATGTTGAGTTGGCCACGCCCAGCCAGTCACGTGACCACCAAGCTACACCCACCAACTAAACCACGCCCACAGAACCGGTTGTTAAAAAAATTGAATCCCACCCCTGCAACAAGGCATGTTGTCTTTTATCATCAGGCCTTCTCTTTCCTGGACCACTACATTTTTTGGAGTTCAGTTACAAATAATGCACACTAATTCCACATGTCAGCCTTTCTCTGTCTCTCTACAAGCTCTCTTCCCTTGCCCAGGAATAACACCTTTTTAATCCAGCATTTGCAGCATGACAAATATACAGGCAACTGCTGAGGTAGCTGGAAGTGAAGAAAATTGAAGAACACAAAGTGACCACCCAAACATCAGTACCCCCCACCCCACCCTTTGACGTGCAGCCTCAGCAGCGTGTCTGATAGCAATAGATCAAGCAGATGCCAAGAAACTAATAACGCCAGCTGATGGATATCATAGGATCCGAATCTGAAAATATAAAATGCCTGCTATCGTGAAGGCAGATTTATCACTTGCTTTGCAATTACATCCGTTTATTACATTGCTTTCACTGGCAAGCACATCAAATCAAACTGTGCTGTCGCTCATTTCTTATGAATTTAGCCAAGGATGGAGACTAGCTCAGGAAATTAAAAAAAGAAAAGAAACTAATAATGTTATTCATCAACTTGACGAACGCAGATCCTATTGTCCTGTGTCTGGGAATAAAAGACAGCAACACTGTTTAGTCATAAGAGCAAGGTAAGCATTTTGAATGACAGCTTGATTGCCCTGTAAAAAATATTTCCATTTAAGACACTATGGATTATAGTTGGGATATGGGATACCATATTGGGTTGCCAAAATCTGGAAGGCTACAAATCCTTGAGAGTTTTGTTGTCCAGATAAAGCCTTGGGTCGTTTAATTTGGCATGTGGAATTACAATCTGTTCTTCAACTCAGATGAATTATAAACCTGGAGAAAGAACCAATCACAAAATGGCTTTCCAGAACTCCAGTGGCATGGTCCAATGATTAATTAGTTCTGTTACATCCACAAGAGCTTGGTTGGTTCCAGCTCAGTTCCACAGGAACTGCCAGGAAGCTACGAAGCAGATCATTTACATCCCCGAAGATGCTGGCAAAATATCAGGGTGCCAGGTAATTAGACCATGGCCTAATAACCTGGAAGATCATCACCACTGAATATAATCTCTTTGTTAATCCCATGGTAACATTAATAGAATTGCAGGCTTGAAACAGATTCAAAACCTGTTAAGGATCAGAGCACAGAATAGAATAATTAATATCTGAAAACATAAGGTTTTGCATTGTGTCAGGTCAGGGAATTGGTGTTGCCACAGCTCCCAAAAGATGGATACAAATGGATTTTGTGATCCACTACCTGAACTTTTGAAACAGTTGGTATCCATTAAATCTGGGACCTGCTATTTGTAGGTGACTGCAGGGCTGTCTTACAGTTTTATAGGGCCTGAATTAACAATGATGATCCAGTATGTGGCTGCTCTCTACAAGATCCCATGTATATATGGACTTGATGAACAAAATTGCAGAATTAGGAACGTTATCCACAGGAATTGGATTGGAGACCCTTGATTTGCCATAATTCAAGGCAAATTATCCCCATCAAGTTCATCAGGAGATGATGGGCATCACTAAAGTTGAGATGGCAGTCCATCTGGACTTTTTTGACTGACCTCCTGCTTCTATAGGTGCTTTGAATTTTGGACAGTTTTGCAACTCCAGTTTGTTTCTACATTGCAAAGTAGATTGTCATGCCTACAAGAATTGTCTTCCATGAGTTTCTTACTTCAATTGATGCTATGTGTGAACTCTAAATATTTTGGTTCTGGGTTATTTGTTGGACCTACTTTTGATGAATGCCTGCCCACTGAATAGGATTTACATCTACTGCAATCAGAGCTGTGTTAGCTAAGATGGACGGAAAGGTAGACTCCCTTCTCTCCTCCCAAAAAAATCAAGATGACGACTAGACGGCATCAAAGATACAGAGCTTTCTCTTTTCTACTATCTACGATAATCCTGATTTTTTTTAGATCAGATCTGAAATTGAAATAGAGTCACAGATTGGAATAGAACTTGGAGACCTTTTAGTCCAACTTCTGCCCAAGGAAAGAATCCTTATTTCATCCTAGACAAATGATCCAATCTTTTCTTGAAAACCTCTAGGGATGGAGCACCCACAAACTCCAGGAGGCAATTATCTGGTAGCTCTGGGGTAGGGTTTATACAATGCTAATTTGGGAAGGAAACACTAATGAAGAGCTTCTTATGAGTGTTTAATAACTCCCATAGGAAGCTCTTCCAAAGTTCCCAACTACGTAGAAAATGCTTTTATTTCGCCCACCAATTATTTTTCTTTGACTGGAAGAATGCTTTCATGAACTCTGGCTGGGATATTTTATGAGCATGCATGCTTCTTAGAAGCAATACAGAGGTCAACAGCCATTGTCTTCCAAAATATTTTTAAAATAATATTTCAAGTCAAGGTACTTGATTTCCCATTCAAATACTAACCACATCCAATCCGGCTTAGTTTCTGAGATGGGCAAAGTAGATGCTGCCACCTGTTAGGTAGAATTAAGCAAGGACCTTATTTTGATCAGTGATACTGAGAAATACTGGCAGGCATGAAGACTAAAGATGAAATGAGTTCTTATTCAGCTGCACGTTATAGAAGTGTACTCAGTTTTTCATCAGATCATAGATTCGTATTTAAATACAGGTCTATCCCATTTGAGAACTTGTAGGACAAGCACCATCCACAGGAATGACACAGGCCAACAGTGATGTGTTCAGGGTGATTGCAGGGGTTAAATTCAAACCTTTCCCCTACCTGCTGTATGGGCATGGCTGTGGGCTGGCTTGGTATACTTGGTATAATAGTAATAGCAACCAGGGGTGAATTTTTAACGATTCAAATCGTCCCTACCACCTCTTCTGAGGTGGGCTGAGGTGGTTGAATTTCACCCCTGGGCGATTGCCAGTGATTGCAAGAGTCACAAAGTTGATTCAGTCTCCTCAGCAAGTAATGATATTCTTTTCCTCACTTAAAAGAAGATCTTCTATTACCCCTTCAAAACCCTGACATTTGCATTTCGCAAAAAGTGTAGCTTCTTCTTTCCCCATGTCATGGTTCTAAACTGATAAGATGTCCACCTTGCTGCCTGAATAATTTCAACAACCAGTTTATTGGAGACTGAACAATATACAACATGAACATCCATGGAAGAATAAAGTGCATTCAACTGAAACTTATATAAACTTCACCTAAAACTCAGAGTTGATTCTGTACAACATTAATAATTCTTCAGTTTCTGAAGTAGGATATACTTTTTTTTATATGATATTTATTTAGTGACATCCAAATACATAATATTTACAAGGTATCATTATTTTTTTAAAGGCAAGTCACATTCATAAATTATTTACTAAATGTTGGCACTGAGAGAACCAAGGGACAGAAGAAAGGAAAATGTCACATTACACAAAAATATGTTCAACAGCAAAGCTTTCAGCATTAATTCTCTTTTTATTAAAATCACCATGAGGAGCAGGAGATTCATTAGCCTCTTTGTCCATTTTCATTTCATTCCATTCATTTCCATTTTCAGAAGTTGTGGGTGCTCCATCACTGGAAGTTTTTAAGAAGAGATTGAAGAGCCATTTGTCTAAAATGGATAGGAAGTACTGCTTCAGCAGGAGATGGATTACAAAACCTCCTTTCCAACCTTATTATTCTGTATACTATAGTCAATGTGGCAAAGCCCTGATTAGCACTGGAGAACCTCAAGTTTGTAGCTATTTTTACGTGTAGTAAAAATATATGTAACTCTAACATGGTGTGTATTTTGACCCTGAATATTAAGAATAGCAAAATATACAATTTTGCTGGGGTGAAGGATGTAAAGAATTAGATGAAATGTTTCTTAGAAAAGGTGGAAATGGAGATAGTATTACCAATATAATTTGGAAGGTTTCGCAAGCAACAGGATATAGCAAGAAAAAGAAGAAGACATTATAAGTAGGCTTTTAGGAGATGGGAATGACACAGCTGAACGGCTACAATCTGTGAATTCATTTCCATAGCTGGAAATAGAAGTTAGAAATAAAGAATGTTACAAGTGACTGCAGATAAGTTTCTTAATGTTTCCACAGTTATAGGAAACAGATTTACTTACGGATACAGTTTTTGGAAACAGAACTAAATGCACCAACATATTATCCATGCAATGAATAAATCTAGTTCAGAAACTACAATGTTTTACATTATAATTTATATAAAAATAATATTACAAAATTTAAAACACTATACATAACTGCACAAGTGATACATATTTCTGAAGCCACACAAATTTCAAAAAGTGGTGCTTCAAACTTTGCATAAACACCTCTCTGATAGTCATTCCAGCAACCTGCTTTTTTTCCCTTCAGGCATACATCCAAAATGCCGCTGCTGCTTTAAGAATCCAATTCTAAATGCAAGTTTTAAAAGAGCTTTTCTCTAGTTCACCTGAAAAAAAGATGGACAGCTGCATGGTTTCCTTGCATACATTCTGAAGCATGTTCTGAAGCAGCTCTTTTGAACCATTTCACAAAGTAGGCACATCCCTAACATAAAATATATATACATGTCAGTAGCCACTCTATAATAAACATATGCAAAAATATGGAAACAATGAAAACCACATTCAACACGTTTCATCCTTCATACATATTTGATGTTCTGCTTCATATTTCATAATTTCTAAATTTCCGCAAAAGTTCAGATGGAGTGTCACCTGACCAACGGAAGCGCAGGTGCCAGCAATTTGGATCTGAAAATCATGTAATGAAAAGAAAAGTGAATTATTTATAAGACTAGAAATAGCGCTATAGTTAAGAGGATCTGTGCATACAATTATATTTTGTATGTGGTCTACATTGTAGAACGTGCAGATTTACCTGGTGAATCTGGGCTTTTTGGTGACATCGGTTTCCCATCAAAGATTTGAAAATCCTCCATTTCCTTCCTATCGTTGAATAAATCATCCCTCTTGATTTCTGTCTTCAGTGAAAAATTATCAGCCACCTTGTCATTACGATTTGAATCAGGGGCATCCAACATTGGCTCTTTTTTATCTCTGACAGCCCAATGCATTGACTAGAAGAAGAAAAAACATTTTTAAAATATAATTTAGTTGCCAAAATAAGGATCTAGCACAAAACAAGCACATTCATACACAGTGAATGAGCAGAAAAGTTTCAGGATACTATTGTAGATTAACTTAATGGTATTGTATCTGTTCATATCTCTGCCAGCACCTTAAATTTTAGTTATTCTTATAGCACTGTATGTAGATTTGACAATTAACACACTGGGATGGCTTTATGTATATTTGACAATTGACACATTAGGATGACTTTATTTTAGTGTTGAATGTATTTGTTGTTAGTCAATGATTAAAATAAATGATGATATTGATAATGATATTGGGTAATGATGATATTGGTAATTTCCAGTGGTACTTTGAGGAATGGATATTGTGCGTTTGTGTATGTTTGTAGATAAAGAACTATAAACAAATGCTCAAGAGAATCCTTAATAAATTATTTTATTTATTTGACCAAATCAATTCCTCATGGTAGAGATAGTGGTAGTGATAATGGTAATGATAGTGGTTGTCGCAATTTTCAAACAGAGCTTAACTAAGGAAAAGTTGTTCTTTGTTTTCACAGAGGGAAGAAATATTTTTACTATCACAGGACAGTTTTGCCTCAGGTTTGTCACAAAGTCAATGGACCCATTTTAAAATAAAATGTTGACCAGAGTGAGATACACTATAACTCCTCATATTGAAAATCATCCTGACCCAAAGGTCTCTAGATAAAGACAGCTCTAGGCCACCTTTCTAACACATCTGCAGGATCAGGGCCAACTGTATGTCAGAGAGAAGTTCCAAAAGGCAGGGGCCACCACCAAGAAGGCAGGACATTATGTCAAGGAGGGGACACAGAGCATGGTTCTTCTTGTTGGGCATATGGGACAGGCAGATACCCGTGGAAGCAAGTGTTTCCACAAATAACCTGATCCTATGCCAGGTAAGATATTAGGCGTGATAATCAGCTTCTCAAGTTGTACCAGGAAGACTAAGGGGATCGAGTGCAGTTCGCAGAGTAGAGAACAAAAAATATCCATAACGCTGCCACCTAGCTTTCCCGCCCACAAATGGATATAACGGTTCATTTCTCCGAGATATGTGGCTGCACAAGGAAAAACTAACTGTTTTCATTGAGTTGCTCAGGGCTTCCCACTGCTGGAATGGGATAGCAATTTTGCTCCTTCGCCAGTAGTCATAACGGGCTCGGCTGTCTTCATTAGAAAGAATCTCTTTTGCATGTTGCAACTTCTGAAAATTCTCCACTATAAACAGAAACAAAAGGACATTTTATGGAGGACAGCATTCATAACCTTTTCTAGCATATCGTTAGATTCATTTTTTGTAAGAGTCTCATTCAGGGGTGTCCAACCTTGGCAACTTTAAGACTTGTGGACTTCAATTCCCAGAATACCCCAGCCAGCATGAGAATTCTGGGAATTGAAATCCACAAATCTTAAAAGTTGCCAAGGTTGGACATCCCTGTTCTGATCAGCGGCATACTGCTTTTGACTTATTATATTATGCCCACCTACATGCACATAACAACAACAAAATGCCTTAGGTATGAAACCAGTTGGGTTTCTTTGGGCCAGTCACTTTCTCTCAGCCCAACCCACCTCACAGGGTTGTTGTTGTGGGGAAAATAGGAGGAGGAAATGTGTACTATTCACTGCCTTGCGTTATTCATAAAAATAATAAATGTGGGATAAAGTAAATATAAATAGATAAAATGAAATTTGCTTTCTCAATCTTCAATGTCTCTTCAACAGACAGAGTCAGGCGGGATACAAGTTTAATAAATTATTATTTTTTCAAAAGACAACAGATACTCAGTCCTGACTGAAATGCAAAGAACTCATGCTTATAAAGCTGTCACCAATGACATATTTGCAATTTAAAACAGAATTATTTGTCCTTCTGCGTATTATTTAGAAGAGTAAGAATATTTGGAAGATGCATTAGTGGTTACTTCTACTAGGGTATTCTCAAGGGGACCTTCAGCTCCAAGCAAAACTCACTCAACCCAGAAGTATTGGCTGCTCCATCACTGGAGGTTTTCAATAAGAGATTGGAATGGTATAGTATAGGATATCCTGCTTGAGCAGGGCATTGGACTAGAAGACCTCCAAGGTCCCTGTTATTCAGGTGGAGTCCTAACCTCATGCCTGCCCATTAGCCTAGAGCAGACCTGGTCCCCAGGGCCATATCTGACCCTTTGGATTGTCCCTGTTTGTCCCTCATGGATTACTTTTACTTTGAAGATGACTGCTTTTTCCCCCCAAGTTACATATGTGTGTCCATGCGTACACGCCTACACATCTTCACAACCCAACTGGTTCAGTCCTCTACAACAGTCCCAGCTTCTCATGTGGCTCACTGGAAAAATTAATTGCTCACCCCAGCCTAGAATCTTGCTGGGTATTCTTTTGCACCATCAGAGAAGATAAATCGTTCTCTTTTGGTTTCATAACACTTAAAGAGTTTCAGTCTGGTGTGTGGTGGTTCAGGTGATGGGCTAACAAGCAGGTGACTATGAATTCTAGGCCTCTCTTAGGTCCCAAAATCAGGCTGGGTAACTTTGGGCCAGTTACTATTTCTCAGCCCAGCTTCCTCACAGGGGTGTTCTTGTAGAGAAAATAGGCAGAAGGGGGTATTATATTCATTGCCTTGAGTTGTGTAAAAGAAAGATGGGATATAAATGTAATGCAGAATAAACTGTAGAAGGAGCCAAGTTCTTGTGTTATCTAAAATGCCCAGAAACACCAGGGGAAAGGAGGAGAGATTGGACGCCACCTTTGATAATGCCTTTAATCCAGCAATCTGTTCCTATCATTGCCAGGTAGTTTTCTCTGGAAAGTCAGTAAACAGATCAGGGAAATAACTGTTCTTTGTGATCCCTCATAATTAGCATACAGAGGTACAGAATCTCTGAACTGAATATACGTCAGCATTAGTAGCAGCTGCCAACAGTCATTTCCTCCATGAAGACTATGCATGTATACACATTCTTATCTAATGGTTATTTTTAGCAAAGGGATGTATCAAAACCAAGGTGTGTGTACCATACAGAAAGCAAGGTTGCCAGTCGTCTTTCTATTAATTTAAATGCAAGGCTTCTGAGCCTGCAGCAAAACTTTCTGCATGTTTATGATGAAATAAAACTCACTATACGAAGCATCTTAGCCCTAGTGCCAGGCCTAAGAGAACTCTTTGGAAAATAGTTTGCAACAAGATGTTGCAAGATTCTTGCCCAGGCAAGATCCACCCATGACAACTTTTCTGCCTGGGGTAAAGAAGAAAACAAAACCTCCCCTATGTCATATTTAACTAAACAGTTTCAGTGGAAATTTATTGTTTATTGCCCCAGCAAGGTGACAAGAGCCTTTACTCTCTCCGACAGACAGCGTGGACCACAGGTTTCTCCATTAACATCTTGTAGCCACTTTGAAGTAACCACTTCTAATAATAGACCTGTTTGAATAGAGATCAATGGAAAGCTTAGGTTGATTTATTTAAGAATGGTGGGAGCTACAAAGGGAAGTGCTCAGTGCAGATTCACAAACTCAGTCTCAAAAGTGCTTTTTCTTTAAAAGGCAACTGTTTTTTCTTTGAGGAAAAAGAAAACGTTTCGTTTCTCATTCAAGAAGCTTCATCAGTTCTGATGGGGGAGTGGAAATGGAATGATAGATAGATAGGTACTGACAGTTGAGGCTGGATGGTGGGGGGATGGGAGGATAGATTCAGGTGCCTTTTGAAGGAAGAAGCACCTTTGAGACAACTATGACCTGGATGACTGAGAATCTTCAGAGACTTCAAGACTACCTCAGATTTTCTCACCTGCTTGTGTGGTAAAAGCATGTAGGTGCGGGGAGGACCAAAATTCAGCATCCACATAATCAACATATTGCATGTCAAATCCCTCCATGCATTTATTATTTAAGAAAACAATGCCTGGACTTTGTTGTAATCCAAGCCACAAAAGCTCAATGGGGTAGACAGAATAGCTGAATTTCAAGATTTCAAAGGGCTAAAAAAAAAAAAACCCATCCCAAAAACAAAATCTCCAATGTTTGTGTCAGATTACAGAAGATAAAAAGTTAATTCCCACAGAAGCACCGGAACAGCTAAAGGGTCATCATATGATTCAATAGTCGTCTCCTATGCTTAGCTGGAGAACCTGCGGCCCCACCCACCTGGAGACGACCCAGATGTCCTCCTCTAGTACTTTAATGACATCTATTACACAGGTGTTTCTCAACCTTGACCTCTTGAAGATGGGTGGATTTCAATTCCCAGAATTTCCCAGCCAGCTTTGAAGTCCATCCATCTTCAAGAGGCCAAGGTCGAGTAACAAATTACCAATCTGCTGGTTTGCATTATGGGGGGAGCTCTTTGTATTTTCTCTCTCCTAGTCCTCCTCCTGATAACAGAAACAGCATCTCTAAAGATTATGAAAAAATATGTGTTTTAGCTATGAGTCACCTTTCTGTTCTGTGGCACCGACAACGATCTTCATTTATGCAGGTTTACTAAAATGGATATTTGTTTGGAAATACATGCAATTCAAATGCTAACAAGGGCTGACAAATACAAACATTGTAGAGATTGCTTTTCCAATTAAATTGCTTCTTATATTTTGCAGGCTGAAAGCTCTTGTACAGGAAGCAATGCAGACAAAAGAAATGTGGTAGCTTTTCTTTTTAGTGACGCAAATTTTGTGATATACACAGGAATCGTAAATTATTTAATGGGTTTTGTTTTTTTGGAAGAAGCACTCATTTTAATTAATATGCAGTGTTTTCCCTAGCTCTTATTTATCCACACATCCACAGTCCAGTTGCCTTTTTGAAGAAAAAAAGGACCTTTGAGACTATCTTGTGCAAGGCATTGATTTGTGTTAATGGAGAAACAATTATTTTTTTAAAAGAGAGGAATAGCTTTGAAAGAAATTGAGATTAATGAGAAGGATAGGCTGTTTATAGTGTTGCAGTGGACTTCCCCTGGGGGCTCAAGATGTGTGATTCACTTGGGATCAATTGACAGCAGGCATGTAATAGTTTCACTGCTGAAAATAGCCCCCTTCCTAAGCTTTTATGTCAATAAACAGGCAGGAAGAGGAACTCCTTTGCATATATCAGCAATTAGGCACTAGGTGATGCCAACAAAATCACACCAGTGTATCTCAAGTGCACTCCAGCCAGCCTTGAGTCAACTGAAAACTATACTAATAGGAAATGTGCTTTCTCTGTTGCTGATCTTGCCTCCGTTGGCTCTGTTTCTAACCACGGTAGTCCCCTAACCTCCCTCCTGTTCTGACCCGGGCTTTGTCAAACGTACTGAAACACAAACTTGCTTGAAAAGCAAAACTTATTTTAATGCAACACTGGGAATTACTTTCATCTCCAGCCAGAACTAATTATAAAGAGTTCCCCAAGATAAGCCCATGCTTGTCAGTGCTGGGGAATACTGCCAAAAACAGAAGTCTCCAAAGTAATTATAACAGAACCCACCCAAAGTATCAGAAAAAACCACCAGAGTACAAAGAGCTTGAAGAAGGACTCGGAATCTAATTGAACTGCTTTGCTTCCTGCAAAGCGTTCGTCATTGAGGTCTGACTTTTATCCCTTATGGGAGGGGCAATCACCTCCCAGCCTTACTCCTGAATCGCCCCTTCTGCTTCAGCTGCTCTCGCCTTCTCGCAGCTCTGCGCACACGTGCATTGGGAACAGGCTCCCCTAGGTCCTCTTCCTCGCTGCTGCCAGACTCCGAAGGCAGCACCCCACTCCCAGATGGTCCTGGCCCCATCTCTGTATCGAACACAGGACCTCGTCCAAGTCCTCTCCAGACTCCCTGACTATTTCCCTTTCTTCCTCACTGTCTGACTCCGCTGCCGTCTGCACCGGCTGCCAGCAAACCACAACACCTCCAAAGAAATGGGTGCATATGGCTGGGGTTGGACAAATTATATAATTAAGGAGTCACAGCCTCAGGATTAGATGAAAGCCACAAAACTAAGCTGCATTTGTGCTGTGGTTAAGTGCAAGCGGGAAAGGGCTCCTTTGCCTAATATTGGTAGCCTTGCATTAATCCAGATCCAAACAGTCATGTCCCTAGTCATCATGATTAGATATTCTACCCAGAACCTCAAGGAAGGGGATCAGATAAATAAATAGACTACGTCATAGCCTAGCAGGATCTAAGATTTGAACACTTGCAAAGCTGACCAACAAGGCGACTAATTTTATTTTAGACAGGGTACCCAAATTTGCATGATGAGGAAATTATACATTTGAATATCATTCCCTCTTTCTGATTCACTGGGCGCTACTGAGGATGCTTGCTTTGCCCAAGAGCATCCACTTTCACCTCAGGGTGGTTTACAGAAAGAAAAAGAGAAAGACATACCAGCCTGAGGGTTTCCAGGATGCTTGTCGGGATGACATTCAAGAGCTCTAACTTTAAACTCTGCAACAATTTGTTCAACCTATGCAAAAACAGCCAAAGCAATTCATGAAAGTTGAGTTCAACTTCTTTTTAATGTTTTTCTTTTTCTGAGCATCTTTTAAGAATCGCTCACATCCTCACCACATGCAAGGGAAGGGCTGAGAAAGTAAAATATTAGCATACCATTATATATGTGAAATTATGGACTTCTGTGACTACAGAAATTTATTTAAGATTATAAAATTATTTACAGGTAGTCCTCAATTTACAACCAATCACATAGTGACCGACGTTACAACAGCACTGAAAAAAGTAACTTAGGATTGGTCCTTGTACTTACGACAGTCGCAGCATCCTCACAATCCCCTGATCAAAATTCAGGTTATCAGCATTTGAATCTTCCCAGCCAGCTTCCAACAAGCAAAGTCATGACCATGTGATTCATTTAAAAACTGTAGTGACTTACTTAACAACCATGAATAGAATTTACAATTCTCAAAACCTCCACTCCCAACAGACTAGAGAGCATTAAGTTGAGGACTAAAAGAGTTATTTCTATGCTAAAAACTAGAGCTAAAATCTTCACTCCCTAGTAAAATATGGACATACTCTTCATTTTAACTCAAAGGTTTGAATGAAGATTAGAATTCCCAGTTAAAAAATGTGCTGCCTAAAATAAGTATGCAGTAGCAGTTCACCACTTAAATGTAATATTAAAAATGTGAACCCATACATTACATGTTATAATATTTCATTATACTGTAGTTGATTAGTTTTAATATGAATTTTAAATTGTCATACTGAAAATAACAAAAGTACATTGTATTAATTCTGTTTTCAGAAATTTTCCACATTTTCTTATCTTATAAAACCTGATTATACTCCTGTGCAAATTAATCTAGCTAAAATTAAATCTTTGATTAGCATCTGTATTTGTGGAAAGTAAGGTCATTCACACAGTTTCAGTTTAACATTCTTTGTGGCCAAATCAACTATTATATATATTTCCCCTGAAAAATAAATGAATTTAGAAAACATTTGAAATACTTTTCTATACTTATAAAAAACAAATCAGTACCTCATCAATTATTGATTCTTGATGCAAATTAAAAATGACCAGGTAAAAGCCAATAAAAGAAGCAATTTTTTGGCTACCCCTTTATCATAACAGGAAATCTAGAAACCTTAATTCAAAATCCATAGATGAGATCACATGTTTTTAAGAATCAAAATCTTTCATAACACCTAGCTGCTGTTTAAGTCAACTGAAAAATATTTTTACTAGAGTAACTAAAATTACATTCTTCTTAACCACTTTCATCAACAATATTGATTAAAGCTTCAGGGTTTTGCAGGATCATAAAATAAATAGTGGACAAAGTACAAGCAACACAACACAAGTGCTACTACGGGTTACTACACTCCCACTCCAAAAATCACATACTTTCACTACAAGAGATTACGCCATTCATTCAAGTAAACAGGTATTTCCATTTCCAGTAAGTGGCAACCTCAAAAAAGGGTCATTGCTCAGTAGTAGAATGCAGAATTCAAGAGCAACTTTTCCAACCGTATTATAGAAGATGGCTAAAAGACTGAACAGATTACTATAATAGGTACAGGTTTGAGAACATTATAGAAAAATGAAAAAAAAGTCAACACTCTTCTTATACACAGTTCAAATTCAACCAATTGACAAAGGTGGTAAGAGAATATATAAATTTAAAAATTATCTTACTGTAGATAATTCATCACATCCCAGCAAGCTATAATAATCTTCCATATCCTCCAGTCTGCAGCTGAATATTGCATCCATTTTTTACACACTCTGCTTTCTCAGTACTAAGAAACAGGGAGCCTAAAACAGCCAAGGTTTATTTAAAAGATTTACACGAGAATCCACAGATGTAACAATGATGCTAAAGCTCAACTACAGTTGGCTTTATACACAGAACAAATGACACCCGAGACTCTGGAGTTACACCCATGAATAAGCCTGCTTTTATTGGTGGAAACAAAGGACAAACTGCAGCTGCAAAGCTTCATGGGAGAGGTAGTTTTCCATGTCATGTTAAAAGTAATCCAGCTATTTCCAAGATCTTTCAGTGAGTGGAGGTGGGATTCTTCGGAGTTGATTTTATGTATATATGAATGATTATGTATTTTATGTGGCATATATGTAATTGAATAAAGTACTCTCTTCAATGATGCATTGCAATTAAAGTTACTAAAATAAATATACAAGGCATTTATTATTAAGACAATAAGAAATCGAACTTGTCCTTGATTTTCTTCAGTAATTCAGAATTCAGTAATTCACACTTGGTTGCAAAAGCTTCTGTAATTTAATATTTCTTATTTTCCAGGTAGGCTCTCTCCACTTTGACGTGTTTTTGACTGCGCTATTAGATATACAAGAATTGTTCCAAGAGATAATGACCTGGTTCACATAGAGCACCAGAGCACAGATTTGTGAACTGTAGCCTATCATTTAAGACACTGCGTGTGGCAGGGACCAAGCCTGTGGTGATTTATTCAATAAACTACAAGTAAAGGAACCATAACTCAGTATGAACCCCATTACTTGATTCCCATTTATGTAGCCTTTATAAATTCACCTAACATAAAGAGAGAACCCTGAGGCAGTCCAATTTAATCACCGTTAAGTCAATGAATAAATGGAATTAACTAATTGTGTAGGAGTTAAATGGGTACAAATAATTCAGATAATGAAAGGAGGAAGATAAATCAACGATAAAAAAAGACTCATTCATTGTGCATTCAATACATTTGATCATAAACTGGCCAGAGTGCATAAACTTTGTATTTTGCTCCACTCATATGAAACCAAAGTGGTCCATTAACACAATAATTGCTTGACATGCATAACATTCAGTGAGTTATGTAGTTGCACAAGCATGAAGCCGAAAGCACCAGCCTGAAGATGGCGAGTGGGACCTCGTTGAAACATTGCCATGATGCTCTCAATCTATTGCTTATATTATATGCTATGTCCTGGATAGAAGGAATTTTCAATAATGCAATAATTCTACTGTAATAATTATTATACTTAATAGATTGTTATTAGTATTAGTATTATTATTAAATATTTAGTGAGATTCCCAGCCTTTGGGGCTGGTTGGTAGCTCAACAGCTCAAGTCCTAACCAAGTCCTAACCAAGGACCTAGGAACTGTTAAGGTAGCATCGGAGGATATAATGTTCCAAGTAGGGTGGTTTTTTTGTAGAACCAGGGTATTAAAATCTGATAAATTCAGAATTTCCAAATAGCAAATTAGCCCTTTAGGTATTGGTCCAAGGGCTCTGATTACAATTGGGATAACACATGATTTCTTTTTCCAAAGTCGCTCAACTTCAATTTGTAAGTCCCAATACTTTGTGATTTTTTTCTTGCTGCGTGTCTTCAATTTGTGCATCACCAGGTATTGCAATGTCAGGTGTGCTGTGGGCCTAGTGCCTGTCAGTCTGATTTCTGAAGTCCCACAAGATCTTGACTTTTTCATTCTCCAGAACCTTCTCAACCTGATGTTCTCAATAGTTGTTACTATTACTATTACTACTACTACTACTACTACTACTACTACTACTACTATTATTATTATTATTATTTAGGAATTAGGAGATTTATTAGTTTTTAAAGAGCCCTTGGGAAGGCATAGCAGAGGGATGGGCTACTACCATAAAGGTGTGCTCTGAAGTACATGAGATGCCACTTGATGAAGATGAGCTTGAGTTGTAGAAAGTGGTGTTCCTCCAAATAATGTAGTCATCTTCGCAAATTCCATCATGTTCACCACTCATTCCTCCATTGTGGGCATTGCCGAACCTTTCTGCTTTCAAAATATAGTAGTATCACTGAAGTTATCATTTATAAAAAGAAAGCTCCTTGATTTTTGTCTAGTTGCTTAGCCATTGATGCCAAAAAAATCTCTGGTTTCAATTATATTTTAATCTTTAAAATCTTCTGAATTAATGTATGCATATGTATGATGACAGCATCCTAATTCTCCCCACCTTAAACTGAAAAAAAACCATGTTTATTTAATTGCCGATTCCAGATTCTGAACTAAACTATGCGTAAGTAAACAGTGTTTCTTGCAAAAATTAAATAAAATTCTGATTGTACCTTTGAGTGTGAAACATTATTACTGTTTATATAATGGATTTCACTGTAGTAGAAGCACAGGAAAACGCCTACATGAATGAATATTTATCCTATCGATTGTTCACATAGTTACAAATAATTACTTACAATTCTGTTTACCCAGCGGTTTTTGCAACTTTAGGGTACTAGTATTACGTGAGTGATGATGAAATCTGGTATTTGCAGTTCCACTTAGACATGGACATGTTTGCATCATGTTTGTTACAAAAAAAACCACCACCTGTTTAAAATTTATGCTCACAGAGCAGTATTTGCAAAGAAAGTGATACCAAGCAAACTAATTAAATAGAAGTCACAATGGACACATGTAATAGCATCTGTAAACAATCATTTCTTATTCTTAAATTAGAATAAGACACTAAAGCTTTGCTGGGTGTAATAGAATGCAATTTACTTCTGTCCCAACATAATGGAACTAGTTCAGCTGTCTTGCTGGGGTAGTGCAGTGTGTAACTACAGTAGCTGTGTAGTTGTATACTGATGGAAGCAGAGTAGAAATGTAAATATTTGCACTGAAAACTGGAGAGCCAGTTTGGTTTAGTGGTTAAGGTTCTGGCCTAGAAATCAGGACACTGTGAGTTCTTGTCCTGCTTTAGACAGGAAAACCTGGTTGGGTGTGAATCCACCTCACAGGATTGTTGTTGTGGGGAAAATAGGATGGAACATTAGGTATGTTTGCTGCCTTGAATTATGTATAAAATAATGAAGGTGGGATAACATAAACATCTAATAAGTTAAAATAAAAAATAAATAAGATGGGACACAGAAATCACTCCTATTGCAGTGGTTTAGTTAAAAAGTAACTCAAACAACCGTACCAGCACTGACTGACATGCTTGTGGAACTCCATGATGTGATCACTACCTGTTGCTTTTAATTCTGAGAAATCCCAAATGTGCTTTCCCAAAAGGCACCTGTTTTGTAGAGTTGTAATTGCAGGAATGTCTTTATCTGATGGCAAATCTCAGAGAAAAGAATGTTTCCAAGCAAATATAACTCAGGCAAACAAAGTTACTCATCTAAAGGAGGATTAGAGAGAGGAAGTAAACATATGTTGGACTTTGACTAGAGATCATTAATTGTGTTAGTTACTATGCTGAACAATAACGAAAGTCAAGCAGAAACCAAAGTTAACCAATGTTAGAGGATTACTAAAAATGTGTATAAATGCAAGACTAGATTCCAATAAAGTTCATCATGAATCAGTTGATCATGATCAAACACCTCGACTGCCTCGTCATTATAACAGACTTTGTTTTTTTTTTCCCTTGAAAACATTTTGTTTCTCATCCAAAAAGCTTTTTCAGAACTTTGGGGAAAGCACCTTTGGGATAACTATGACCTGTCCTAGATGATTTGAGAATTTCCATGGAAATTCTGAGAAATATTGACTTGAAAAATCAGTGCACAACCTGATGGCTAGAACAAATGAGGAAAGAATGAGACCAAAGGGTTGGGAGAGGAAAATGGAGGAGGGCAGGTGGTCAACTTACCAAAGCAAGTATGGTGGAACTGAGAGAGTATACAGGTAGTTCTCAACATATACCACAATGGAGTCTGGAATTTTGGTCATAAATTATTGTCATAAATCAAATCACCACATGACCTGATTCAATTTTACAACTGTTTTTATGATGGTTGTAAAGAGAGTCACCACCAAAATGTAATCACATGATTATGGAGGCAGGATGGCAGCTGTAACTTTGAGGACAGGTCATAAATAGGTTGTTGGTTTTTTTTGAAGTCCACTGTAATTTTGAGCTGGCGTTAAGAGACTAGTCACAGGTAAGGAAATACCTGTAAATTCCTCTAGCAGCCAGCTAACAGATCAGTAAGTGATGCTCTTAAGAGACCCATTGTCAAAATAGCTTTCCTCAAATGATCAGACCAAATAGGATTATAAATACCTATAAAACTGAAATATTCCAATGAAGGAGAAAAATGAATCTCCAAAACTCCTTTTTTCATAACATATATTAAAGTTTATTATCAAATAAAATAGAAATAGAAACAATAGTCAAGAAAGAGAAAAAAGGCAAAGAATGAAGAGAAAAAAGGTAGTGATGGCTGATTTTTTAAGTGCAGTAAAATACAAATAAAATTAAAACCTCAACCTTTTGCTTTACATTTCTAACTGATTCAAATATTTCTACAACACCATAGTTGATCTAGTTAATAAACCCCCAAATCAAATTTTAATTCCTCTACCTCCATTTTGAGCATAAATCTAGAAGCAGTTTCCAGGTAAAAACAAAAGTAGATAGATCTTGTCTTAAAAGTCAGTTTTGCCATCTCCACCACCTTCACCATCCATTCTTATTCCATTGTGGGAATTTATACATCTTCCCACCTTCTCAGCCAGCTCTTTCTTTGACTCAGTCTCATTTCTCTAGTTAATCTTTATGGCAGAGGTGGGCGACTATGGCCCCTTTACAACCTGGAGATTTCAACTCCCAGAATTCCTGAGCCGGTATGACTTGTAGTTAATTACAGGTTGTCCTCTTTCAGCAACCATAATTGGGATGGCAACTCAGTCCTTAAGCGAAGTGGTTACTAAGTGAAACTGTGGAAAGGAAACTTCATGAGGACAGTGGTGACACCCAAGCAGGAAAAGCCCAAAGGGAACATCAGGCCAGCCATAAAACAAACTTGCATAGAAAAAGAGATTTAATAAAAGGTATTGAAAGAAGCCCCCTAGACCAGTGGTCCCCAACCTTTTTTGTACCAGGGAC